CCCAGTCGGATTTACATCATCCCTCCAGTTGTTAGCGACGACTGACATAATTTAGCCAAACATTAAAAGAACATATATGCTACGATTAAAAAGTGGAAGATATAAATATACTTTGAAAGACGTGGTCTTACATACCCTCTCAGGGGGGCAATAATTTTACACTACTTTAACCCCCTTTGAGGATATAGCCACTAACAATCTCAGTTATTGATTTAATCAACCGATCATAAAAGGTATTTATTTACAAAACATAACATTCAAAATTTATAAATTAAATCAATTTCTTTTAAAAAAGCAAGAATTAAATGAGAACTTATCTGATAAAAAAGATCCTTGAGTGATGGAACTTTGAAATATTTATCCCTTGCGATGGAAAAATCAATGCAGTCAAGCAGGACATGCTTGACTGTGATTCTTTCATCACAAGGGATGCAAAACGGAGGATCCTCACCTTTGATTAAATATTCATGAGTATATCTGCTGTGGCCAATACGACATCGTCGCAGAATGACCTCTTCAAATCTGGACTGACAGCCCAAGAAGGTATATCCGATAATTGGTTTAATTTCATGTAACTTATTTATACCTACTTGGGTGTCCCACTTCTTCTGCATTAGATCACGAATGTAAGCTCTAATAACAGGTTTATAATCAGTGTATGGGACAAGAAGTGGTGTCACAGATTTGTTGAGTGCTGCTTTAGCAGCAGCATCGGCCGTTGTGTTACCAGAGATACCAACATGGCTTGGTAACCAACAAAAGACGATGTCATATTGGCCAGTAGCAAGATCATTAAATAACTCAAGAATTTCAATTAAAAATGGATGTTTGCAAGACATATTTTTAATAGCCTGAAGGCACGAAAGTGAATCGGAAAAAATAATGAATTCTTTACATTTTGATTGATTGTTAATATATTTTAGTGCTGTTAAAATTGCGTGTGCTTCAGCAGTGAAGATTGAACTATGATCTGGTAATCTTGATGATATTGTTCTGGATCCAACGACAGTGGCACTAGCAACTGCGCCACCATCCTTGGATCCATCGGTAAATATAGATTTATAATTGTCATAAGTGTTTCGTAATTGATTGTATTCTTGTTTATAAATTAGTGGATTTGTTTCAGATTTCTTCAGACTAGTTAATGTAAGGTCTACCTCTGGCCTTACCATTTGCCAAGGAGGCGATGAAAAAAGTTGTGTGGGAGCTATATGCTGAAAGTTAATGTTCGCAGCAGAAACGACTGATTTAATTCTTATTCCTAGTGGAGGAACAAGAGATGTTTTCTTATTGTAAATATCTTCATAAAGTGGATGAAATACGCAATTAAAAGCTGGATTCGACCGATTAGAATATAATTTAATGATGTATTGTAAAGAAAGTTTCAAACGGCGTTGTTTTAGAGACGGCTCATCTGCTTCAACATACAGACTTGGAATAGGAGCAGTGCGGAAGGCTCCAAGGCAAAGCCTCAGTCCTTGATGATGTATAGTATCAAGTTTTTTTAAATTACTTTTACAGGCTCCACCATAGACGATGGAGCCGTAATCAAGTTTTGAACGGATCAGGGACCGGTACAAGTGTAAGAGTGTTGTCTGATCCCCTCCCCACTTTGAATTAGAAACGACTTTCAACAAATCAAGTGCCTTCAGGCATTTAGCTTTAAGGTATTTAATGTGTGGTAAAAAAGTTAAATGGCTATCGAAAATAAGTCCTAAGAACTTGGCCTCCTTCACAACTTTGATAGGGGTGCCATTTAGAAAAAGCTCAGGATCTTTATGCGGTTTATATTTCCTGCAAAAATGTATGCAGTTAGTTTTTGATTTGGAAAACTTAAACCCGTTCTCTAGACACCACTTGTGAATTTTATTGAGACATAATTGTAATTTCCTTTCTATTGTGTGCATATTTTTACCACGACAAGACATATTAAAATCATCCACAAAAAGGGATCCATCAACTGAATCATTTAAAACTTTTGACAAACTGTTAATTTTGATACTGAATAGAGTGACAGACAAAATACTGCCTTGTGGGACACCCTGATCCTGATTATAATGATCAGACAGGGTTGTACCCACTCGGACTTGAAATTGCCTGTCTGTTAAAAACTGAGATATAAAATGAGGTAAACGACCTCTCAAGCCAAAATCATGTAAATCCTTCAGAATGCCATGCTTCCAGGTAGTATCGTATGCCTTCTCAAGATCAAAGAAAATGGATACCACGTGTTGTTTATTAACAATAGCATTTTTAACAAAGGATTCTAACCGTACTAAATGATCAATAGTACTTCTATTTTTCCGGAAACCACACTGAATATTTGTGAGAAGGTTATTGGTTTCCAGATACCAAACTAATCTATTATTCACCATTCGCTCCATGGTTTTGCAAACACAACTGGTTAACGATATAGGGCGATAATTTGAGGGATCTGTATGATCCCGGCCAGGTTTTGGGATGGGGACTACAATGGCATTATGCCACGAAGGAGGAAAATGCCCTGAAGTCCATATTTGGTCAAAGATATTTAAAAGTGTCTCAAGACATGATTCAGGTAAATGCTTCAATAACTGATAATGGATATTATCAGCACCCGCTGCAGTATCATGAGCTTGCTCAAGAGCGGTATGTAGCTCATGCAATGAAAATACTTCATTGTAATCTTCACCATTAGTAGAATCAAAATTAACTTTTTTCTTTTCCTGTTGTTTCTGATATTTCTGAAACTCAGGGACATAATTTGTTGATGAAGAATTTTTGGCAAGAGTTTCGCCAAGTTTATTTGCAATATCTAATTTATCAGTTATTAATCTGTCACCTTCTTTTAGATGATGTACAGAAGATTTTGAGTGAGTGAGTGAGTGAGTGAGGTAATGCTTTACGTCACATCGGCAATATTTCAGCCATATCGTGACGAGAAATTAGACATGAAATATACATATATTTAAACTTTATAAAAATCTGTCATCGAAGGACAGTATGAGAACTAGAATATCACAGATAAGATTTTAAAACTAGTTGCGGAACATTTAAAAGAATTAAGTATTAAGGAACAAAACAATATAAAAATGGGCTAGAGATCGTCAGTAACTAAAGGGAGATCACCACACCAGGGACCATGGGGACTTACAGTACCTTTGCTTCCTGCATGGACCCTGGCAGGATTTACACCATCCCTTCAGTCACTGGCGATTATATGCAAGTTTAGCCATTGAATAAAACTAACAAATATACTACGATTTAAAAGTCTGGTATGCATAAAAATACTACGAATGGTTTGGGACTTACATACCCTCTTAGGGGGACAATAATTTTACGCTACTTCAACCCCCCTCGAGGGTACAGCCACTCACAATCTAAGTTATTTATTAGCACTACCAATTTATAAAATAATACATTAAGCACATCAAAATTTATGGACAAGTTCTATTTCTTTTAAAAAACTTAATATTAAATGAGAATTAACATCATTAAAAAGGTCCTTAACTGTTTTGACACTGAAATATTTATCCCTTGTGATGGAAAAATCAATACAGTCAAGCAGGACATGCTTGACCGTGATTCTTTCATCACAAGGGATGCAAAACGGAGGATCCTCACCATTTAAAAGATACTCATGTGTATATCTTGAATGGCCAAGACGACATCGTCGCATAATGACCTCTTCAAATCTGGACTGACAGCCCAAGTAGGTGTAACCGATATTTGGTTTAATTTCATGTAATTTATTGATACCTACTTGGGCGTCCCACTTCTGTTGCATAAGATCTCGGATGTAAGATCGAATCATGGGTTTAAAATCAGTGTATGGGATCAGAAGTGGTGTCACAGATTTGTTGAGGGCTGCTTTTGCAGCCGCATCGGCCATTGTGTTACCAATGATACCAACATGGCAGAAGATTTTGAACCTTTGCCTTTTATTCTTTGAACCATGTTCCACACCTTGGAAATGGGTGTACGGGAATTAAGTTTTGAGACATAGTTCCTCCAAGATTGACGCTTATTTTGTTTATAAGCACGTCGTGCCTTGGCATTAGTAATTTTAACAGTATTCAAGTTGTGAACTGTTGGATGTCGGCGAAAATATTTTTCCGCTTTCTTCCTACACTTTCTTGCTTGTTTGCAATCATAGTTAAACCATGGTTTACGAAGATGAGGAGTTGCAGAGGACTTAGGAATTGTTTTGTCAGCAATATCATTGAGTTGATTCGAAAATAACTGGATGGGATCAAGTACATGTATGAAGTTGTCAGGTTGTAATATATCAACACATAAATTTTCATACAAGGACCAGTTGGCCTTGCTAAAATTCCATCGTGATGAAGTCAGGTCATCATCCGATGTTACAGTTTTTAAGACAGTAGGGAAGTGATCACTTCCACACAGGTCGTCATGCACAGACCATTCAAATTCATTGTAAATGTTTGAATCTGTGAGGGACAGATCAAGGGCAGAATAGGTTCCAGTAGCAGGATGTAAGTAGGTGTTTGAATCATCATTAAATAGACATAAACCATTATCAGAAACAAAATCTTCAATAACTCTCCCCTTGTTGTTTGTACTTGCACTTCCCCACAGAGGGTTATGCCCGTTTAAATCGCCCATGATGATGCAGGGCCTAGGGAGCTGATCATATAGATTCTGTAGATCAGACTGTCGAAGAGCAGATGAAGGTGGGATATACAAAGAGCACAAAGTAAATGCAATGTGCAAAGTAATACGGATAGCTACAGCTTGAAGATTAGTATTTAAATGTACAGGACTGTGAATGACGTTCTGTCGGACTAAAATAGTAGAGCCTCCGGTCGCTTTATCACCTGGAGGAGAAAATGAATGATGACAGTTGTACTGCCTGAGATCAAACGTATCAGTGTGCTTAAGGTATGTCTCTTGGAGACATAATGCTGACGGGTTATAATCTTGAACTAACAATTGTAAGTCATTAAAATTCTTTCTTAGTCCTCTGCAATTCCATTGAAGTATATTAGGCGAATGAATCATGGTGGTTCAATAGGGGATCTCTCACGCGAAAGTGAGGAGGAAGAACTCCTACCAGAATTCTCAGACGATGGTGTTACTTCCATGTCCAGAGCACTATAGGAGTTTTGAAGAGGTACCTCTGAAGGAGAGGGATTCCTTGGTAATTGTTTTTTACCCAACTTTTTTCTTTCCCGATTTGACCGCTTGACATTTGCAGTTGTTGTTGGTTCAGGTGGAGTCTGACTCGCTGCCTGAGAAGTTGAAGGTGGTGCTGTTGTTTTTGCATCAGATTTGTCATGCTCGATGGCAGGAGCAGTCGCCAGGGGTCGATCAGATTTGACCCATGTCAACTCTGTCTGACACGAGACAGATGAAGATTGGACTGGCTTTGAGACAGCAGCAGAGTAATTTAGTGTCGACTGAGGTGGTGATTGAGACTTGAACAGTTGTCTTGCTTCTCCAAAAGTAATGTTTTTTTCACACTTTATCTTTAGTATTTTTGATTCATTTTGCCAAATAGGGCAGAATTTGGAGGAAGCCATATGTTTGCCATCACAGTTCGCACATTTGAGGGCTTGTTGGCAATCAGTACTCTCATGGTTGTCGCCACAGCGTTGACAAACCACAGAACGAGTACAGGACTTAGAGCCATGGCCAAAATGTTGACATCTAAAGCATCGGAGTGCATTGGGGACATACACCTCCACTCCGATGTTGACGTATCCAGCTTTAATTGATTGTGGGATAGAAGATCTGGCAAACGTAAACAAGTACGTATTCGTTGGTTCAAAAGTTGAATCGTCCTTCTTGCGGGAGAAACGTTTAACAGCAGATACTCCCTGAGTTTGAAGCTCTTCAGCAATTTCTTGTTCAGACATGTCCGACAAAGAACGAGTCCTGTCACGGACAATGCCTCGGCAGGAGTTGAGTGTCCTGTGTTCAGAAACAACAACCTCAATATTGGCAAATTGACTGATTGATAACAGATTGATTGATTGTTGTTTCCTTACACATTCAACAAGAAGGGAGCCAGAGCGAAGTCGTGTCACGTTTTTAACCTCTCCACAATATCCTTGAATGGCTTTAGAAATGGCAAAGGGGTTCAGTTTGATGGGTTCATGATCTTTAGCCTCGATCACAAGGAAACGAGCCCAAGAATCAATATTTGCAGCTGTCTCATCAGATGAGCCTAATTCTATATGTCTACGCTTTGAACCAGGATGATTAGAAGCCATGGTGAAAGAAAAGTATTCAGCAACCCTGCTCCCCACCCACCATGGAGTGTCAACAAGGACAGTGTTACATTGCACCGGATATCCAGAATGCAAACACCAGGGATACAGGGTTGTTATACTCCAGCAAATAAGACACGAATAGCTATATTTATCTACCAATTCAATGTCAGACTGGTTCTGCCCTAGACAAGAAATTGGAGACATACATTACTCGGAGGTCAACATCACCAGATTGGCCCATGAGCCACCGCCTTCTGGCATAAGACTCTAGGCAATTAATTCCATCACAAATTGTGAGTACATACAAGTTTAACATGACCAAGACCAAAATATACATTAAATTACAACACAGGTGTGCAGATACAATTTTACGCACAGGGCCTGGCATGACCAGCCGATTGATAAGACCGGGCCCATCTTACCACCCGTCTAGGCGAAGTAAGGGTCGAAGTAGTGTGTTGGGCAAAGGAACACAGTTCCAGGAACCAGTGCCCTCAACTACCAGACTCCCGTCCTCCGCCGACACAGGGACGCAACCCACGGCAAACAGGTTGCCCATTTTAGTCGCCTCATACGACCAGCAATGGGAGGCTGTGGAAATATTCTGCCCCGGTTCCACACGGGGGAAGAGCGATTAGCGTTACCCAGCACTCACCACGAGGAGGTTGCTCTTCACGAGTGCCCATTATCTAGAGCAATTAACTGTTCCCGCCTCCCACTCCCCATGTACGATGGCAAAGATACAATAGCGGCAGCGGCTTGGTTGAAACGTTATGAGAAATTCTCCTCAGCCCAACATTATACAGAGGAAGATCATATTGATATATTTCCCCTCTACCTTAACCAACTAGCGGCAGAAAGGTATGAAGGTACAAAAAACACGTTGTACATGTCTTGGCCCGAATTAAGAACTGCTTTTCTCCGCCGCTACTCTCCATCCTCCATAAGCCTTTTAACACGCCAAAATGCCTTATAAGATAGGAAACAACGGTCTGGTGAAACATTCCCAGCCTTTCTTAAGTCCATAAGGCACGAGGCGGAACTACTGCACCGCAACGAGGACCCCTATGTAAAGGACCTAATTTTACGTAATCCCTGCCCCACATCCGCCAGTTTATCCTCACCCATGCCCATGACAGCTTAGAACAAGTAATTGAAAGTGCGGAAATAGCGGACGCCACGTCAGGGTTGACTGACCCCAAATCAGATCAACTAATGTCCGCAATTAATGCCCTCTCTTCCCAAGTCAGTGCACTGCAAGCAGGACAGGTTAATGCCATCGCCTCCAGCTATGTTCCCCAGCCACATGGTCAAACAATGACTAATCCCCTCATAGATGGCCCTGGTCCCAAATCTTACCATCAGTATAGCGATCATAGTCATCAGCAACGTGTTCTCCAATACCGACCGCGCCCTTCTCAGTATTACCAGAACCCGCCCCGGCTCCCTAACTCGTTTCCGAGAGGTAACACGCCAAATCGCTTCCCACAAACATTTCGCTGCAAGAGTTGTGGATATTTTCATTCATCCCCTAAAGAATGTCGCGCACAACACCTCCGTTGTTACAACTGCACCCAATTAGGCCATGTAATCAGGACATGTCCCTTCCCCCGACAAAGCAGGGCATGATGCCAGGTGCCTCTCATAGCTGAGCCAACGCACAATCCCTCAGTTGATCAGAGGCATCTCGACGATAATGACCTTGACCCCACACCACCCACAACAAAACTCACTCACAGTATTATTGTAGTCAAAATTAATACTACATCAATTAAAGCCCTTGTTGATAGCGGGGCGTGTGCTAGTTGTATTGGGCTATCACAATATGAACGGCTAGGGGGATCACACAGTTTCCCACTACTCTCAGGAGAAGACACTAAGTTAGCAGGTCCGGATGGCACCGTTCTGAACGTACCTGGGTCAGTTGAGTTAGTACTAGACATTGCTGGCCTTCTCCTGACTCACAAATTTTATGTAGTAGATGCCTTACAGCAAGATATGCTACTGGGTCTTGACTTTCTCAAAGAACATGATGCCTCTCTAGATTATTCTCACAACAGACTTTGTCTCACTAATGGACTGATGGAGACGCCTTTCTTAACCCCAATCCCTGATGATGCCCTGATTGCCCGGTGTCCCAAGACTGTCCACATTCCCCTCGATCAGAACTATGCATGATGATGGACGTGCCCCCTGACATCCCTTTAGACACCTCGGGTACTCTTCACCCACTGACTACCCTGACCCAGTCACACAAGGTCATTGGTAGCCATTGTGTTGTGACGTGTATCAACTCCCAGGTACCATACCGCCTCCTTAACCCCACTGAAAAGAACATCACCTTACCAGCCAACACACCCATCGCGGTGTTCGAACATTTTGACGACACCTTTGACTTAGGCCCCCTCAGGGATACCCCAAACAACACGCACAGTATTAATCACATTACCGTGACCGACAGACGATCTGATGATGAACTGAGGCAACAAGCGGCTGACCTCAACATTGACCTGTCCCAAGCTGACTTGTCCTCAGAACAAAAACAGAAACTGTTGACCTTTATTGGACGCCACCGTGACTGTTTTGCAAAGGACATTACTGAATTAGGCAGAACTCACCTTTTTTCACATTCAATAGATACAGGTGACAGTAAACCAGTCAGAAAACGCCCCTATCCAGTACATCCCAAACACAGACATGACTTGGACACTCATATTAAGGATATGTTAGATAATGACATCATCGAACCATCCTTTTCCCCTTGGTCTGCCCCTGTTTTACTAGTTAAAAAGAAATCAGGAGATACGCGATTTTGCATCGATTTTCGCGGGCTTAACCGCATAACTTCTGTGCAGCATTTCCCTATCGGAAATATTGATGAATCCTTGATGTCTCTCGGAAATAGCCACCCAATCATTTTCTCCTCTTTGGACATGATGAGTGGTTATCACTAAATACCCATGTCCCCAGACAGTCGAGAGAAAACGGCCTTCATTGCGCCAGGCCACGGACAGTTCCAATTTAAGGTCATGCCCTTTGGACTTGTCAATGCTCCCAGTTGCTTTGCATTTATAATGTCATCGCTGTTTTCGGGAATGTCATACAAGTACGTCTTAACCTACTTGGATGACCTGCTGATACACAGCTCCTCCTTCGAGGAACACCTCCTTCACTTAGAAGCAGTGCTCAATAAGTTTAGGGAGGCTGGAATGAAGCTTAAACCTTCAAAATGCAACTTTGCTGTAAAAGAGATCTCGAAAAAAGGGATCTCTACGGATCCCAGTAAAGTGGCTAGCGTACAATCATACCCTACCCCCACAAACATCCGAGAATTGCGGGCATTCCTTGGCCTCACATCCTATCATAGGAAATTTATTAAAGGTTATGCATCGACCGCTTGCCCCTTGCATGCCTTACTCCACAAAAAGGTGAATTTCACATGGAGCGTGGACGCAGAGAAAGCATTTCTCCACCTGAAACAGACCCTGACCTCTGCCCCTGTACTAGCATACCCTGATTTTGACAAACCGTTCGTCTTAGCATGCGATGCATGCGACAGCAGTGTAGGTTTGGTATTGTCGCAAATTGACGACAATCACCAGGAACACCCTATAGCCTTTGGTGGCAAAAGCCTCAATAAAGCGAAAAGATTATACCCTGTTACCCAAAAGGAGTGTCTAGCGATTGTTGAAGGTATTAAACACTTTAGGGCCTATTTGTTATATAACAAATTCACCGTCATCAAGGATCACTCAGCCCTACAATTTCTAAAATCTATCAAAGATGCTACAGGCAAACTGGGTCGCTGGTCTCTCATGCTGAGCCAGTATGACTTTGACATCCACTATGTTCCGGGCCCAAAGAATGGGAATGCAGATGGCATGAGTCGCCGTTCGTACGCCGCAGCGGTACCATACGACGATCAGGAAGCGTTAGGATTGCATACAATCACACCCTCTCAATCAGATTCCAATGCTGACGACAACCCCGACAGGGACTTCAACCAGTCCCCGGTGGATTATTGTAAAGCAGTGGGCATTTCAGAGCCCAACCTGGCTGTACTCCAACAGCGGGACACAGCATTTGCAGATATAATCAGATATCTCTCAGACAATGCACTCCCAGATGACGACAAGTTAGCTCGCTGAGTATTGTTACAAGCGCCTGATTATGTCATGGATGAAGGCCTCCTCATCAACCACTATACCCCACAGGACCAAGGAGGTTATCCCAAACGGTGTTTCCGCCAGTTATGCATACCAGCTCCACTACACCCCGAAATCATGAAGGCTTACCATGACAGTTTCATGTCCTCTCACCTCGGAGTGGACAGGTGCTATGCGTCAATTAGACTCAAGTACTACTGGCCGAATATGTACCAATTTGTCAAAATGTGGGTCGGCTCATGTACAGCCTGTCAAGCGGCGAAGAGGTATATTCATTACCACTCCGCCCCACTCCGACCTCTGCCATTCGTCGAGGTTTTTGACCGATGGTCGATCGACCTTATTGGTAAACTAACAAAAACAGCAGACAGAGGGCTACCAGTATGTCCTGGTCTGTGTCGATTCCGCCTCACGGTGGTGTGAAGCGTTTCCACTAAAAACCAAAATGAGCAAAGAAGTAGCATCGGTTCTGTTCGATAATATCATATGCAGATACTAATGCCCTCGCGCAATCCTTACCGATCGAGGTACGGAAATGACATCCAAACTCATGTCTGAGTTATGCAATATACTGGGGGTTAAACGCCTCAAAACATCGTCATTTCATGCTCAGTGCAATGCCGCAGTTGAACGCATGAATGCTGTGATTTCACAGTCAATCAGAACATACTGTGAAGACGCGAAAGAGGCGTGGCCCTACATTCTCCACCATTAACGCTACGGGGTACTCTCCCTACTTAATGCTGTTCGGCAGGGAGCCCCGTATGCCAATATACAATATTTTACAACCAATCCCTGAGACTCTGCCAGTAAGAACACAGACGGACTTGAGAG